AAAAAAAAAAAAATAAAAATAAAATAAAATAAAATAAAATAAAATAGATGAAGTGCTTCAGCACCTTGGCTCACAAATAATCTATATTTTCAATAATACTTTGGTTAAGTTTTGCATAATTGTTTTGTTTTGTTTTTGTTTTTGTTTTTGTTTTTTTTGAGTTGGAGTCTTACTCCATTGCCTAGACTGGAGTGCAGTGGCACACTCACGGGCACCCCAGTGTTAACCTGCTGGGTTCAGGCAATCCTTCTGCCTCAGCCTTCCAAATAACTAGAACTATAGGTGTGCACTACCAAGCCCGGCTAATTTTTTTATTTTTGTAGAGACAGAGTCTCAAGTTGCCCAGGCTGGTCTTGAACCCCTTCTGCCTCACCCTTCCAAGTGGTCAGAACTACAGGCACGTGCTACCATGCCCGGCTAATTTTTTTTTTTTTTTGATTTATTGTAGAGATGAGGACTCACCAAGTTGTCCAGACTGGACACAAATCCCTGGGTTGAGGCAGTCCTCTCCCCTCAGCCTCCCAAAATGCTGGAATTACAGGCTTGAGCCACGGTGCCCGGCCTGCATAATTTTTAATTATGTTGTTAACTATTGACATTAAGGAGTAAGATGAATAAATGGATATATTTTCTCTTTTGCATATGGGAAAGGGATTTTTAAAATTTGGTCACATATGATAACAACAAAAAAATTTTTGAAGATTGAACCCACACTTTGAAACAAGAGCTAATCTTGTCCCTTTGACTGGCAGGCTTTGTTAAGAGAAGTATTGGAGTGCCCCCCTCTCTCTGTAAGGTGTTAAATATATACAGTGGTAAGCCTGTTATTAGTTTGTAGATATTGTATTCTTTACTTTTCTGGCATAAGAGCCATATGTGGATGCTTAGGATAGGCTGAAAATATTCTAACACTCAGACTTGCAACCCAGTCCTAAAAGAAGTGCCTCTTTTATAGGTTACCATTCCACCATTTCGTGACCCTTTGAAAAAAGCACAGTGTGACAAGGATGATGAAAAAAGAATTCTTCTTCAGTGTGAGACTGGTATTTAGTTCTTAATTGTTACATGATTTCATAGCCTAAAAGCAATGGCAGTTGCAATTAAAGGTGCTGATTTAGACTTCTAATCTTTCTGCAGGCAAAATATATACAATGAAAGAATTTGAAGAAGTTGAGAAGGTTCAACTGCATTCTAGATTCCCAAGAATTTCTAACTCAAGGCACTTTATGACCCCAAATGAGTGGCTTAAACTGCCTACAAGATATATAGAAAGTGAATTTTGTAAAAGGAGGAGGTAATGGTTAATACATATACTAGAAATTATAGAACCTCTTGGACTTTGAAAGTTCTTTCTTGAGACATTGATATAAATTTTTTAATAGTTTTGGTTTTTAAAAATGTTTATTTTTTCAGTGAAAAAACAACTAATGCTTATCTTTATTTCTCTGCGGCATGCTTTTTTTTCCTTTGGTACTTTCAAGATTTTCTATTTATCTTTGGTTTTCCTTAGCTAGACTATAATGTGTCTGGGTTTTTTGTTTTTTGTTTTCTATTTTCTTTAGAACTGTCTGCAATTCTTGTATGTGTGGTTTTATGTCTTTCATTATTTTGGGGAAATTGTAGACTATTATCACTTCAAGTATTTCTTATGTCCCATTCTCTCTGCTTTTTTTCCCTTCTGAGATTCCAGTTATATGTAGGTTAGACCATCTGATCATGTCTCACAGTGCCACAGTTCTTTGATACTCTATTCTTTGAAACTCTATTCTGTTTTTTTTTCTCCACACATTTTTCCCCTGTTTATATTTCAAATGGATGATTTCTGTTGCCTTGTTTTTAAGTTCATTGAGTTTTTCCTTAACTGTGTCTCATCTACTGCGGAGCTCATCAAGATCTTCATCTTTGTTATCATTATTTTTAAAATTTCTGCATTTCCATTTTATTTTTTTTATATAGCTCTCATTTTTTTTGCTGAAATTCTCTGTTCATGCATGTTGTCCACATTATCCATCCACTAGATTCTTTGTCATATATATATATATATATATATTTTTTTTTTTTTTTTGAGTTGGAGTCTCACTCTGTCACCCAGACTGGAGTGCAGTGGCCGCTCCTGGCCACCACAGCCTCGACCTGCTAGGCTCCAGCGATCCTTCTGCCTCAGCCTTCCAAGTAGCTGGTACTACACTGGTATTACACTGGTAGTAGCTGGTATAGCTGGTACTATACGGGTGCACTATCACACCCGGCTAATTTTTGATTTATTATAGAGATGAGGTGTCGCCAAGTTGCCCAGGTGGGTCTTGAACCCGCGGGCTCAGGCAATCCACTCACCTCAGCCTCCCAAAGGCGCGGGATTACAGGCTGAGCCACCGAGCCTGGCTATATACATTTTTTTGAGTTAGAGTCTTACTCCATCACCCAGACTGGAGTACAGTGGCATGCTCATGGCCACTGCAGCCTCGACCTGCTGGCTCAGGTGATCCTTCCACCTCAGCCTTCCAAGTAGCTGGGACTATAGGCGTGTGCTACTATGCTCGGCTAATTTTTTTATTTGTTGTAGACATGAGGTCTCGCCAAGTTGCCCGGGGTGGTCTTGAACTCATGGGCTTAGGCAATCAATCCACTCACCTTAGCCTCCCAAAGTGCGAGGATTATAGGCTGAGCCACTGAGCCCAGCCTTTTTGCCATATTAATCAGTTATTTTAAACTCCTCATCAGATAGTTCCAGAATTAGAGTCATCTGGTTCTGTTGATTGCTTTGTCTCTTGACTGGGTTATTTTGTCTTGCCTTCTTTGTATGTCTTGTAATTTTTGATTGAGTGCCAGACATTTGGGGTGGAAGAACAGTATTTCTGAGTATTTATTTCTAGAAATGGACATACCTCTTCTTCTGCCAACCATTAGTGTGGAGGATTGGGCTTATCGAATCAGAAATTGAACTGGGTTGGGTGTTGTTATCGCTGCTGTTACCTTTAGTGCACTATAGGCCTCAAATGCCTCTAGTGGTTAGTCTGCTTTGTGTTTTGCTTGGGGTGGGGATGGGGTGCCAGAGAAATTTTCTCAAGTGTTTCTGCTCCCCCCCTCAGTTTTCAGCTATTCCTGTAAGCCTGCATTATAGAAGTGGAGGGGTATTCTCTTCACAATCTTGCCTCTCCCCCAGAAGTATATTGCTGCTATTTGTTGCAAGGCTCATAGTGGAAGTAGAACAACATTCTATGTTTTTCTCATTCAGCTTCAGTTTTAGGCAAGCCCTATGTGTTGAGGCCTCAAGAGTAGGGCTTTCTTGGAATTCCTTTCCTTTATCCCTGTGGCAGTTAAACTCTACCTTGTATCTGTGGTTTTTCTTGGATGATAGTTTCTGGTCCCTCTTGCAATGATAGCAGATCTCTGATTAGTATAGAAATAGGATTCTTGGCTCAAGCCAGTTTCTTGTTTCTAGGACAGAGAGTTTTTGCTTCTATCCTTGACCTCAGCAGCAATGGAACTTTGCCTCTGTCCTGGGTGTGAGAGGATTCTCCACACTTCCCCCTTTAGTGACAGACAGGTTTTGTTTCTACTCCCCCCTCAAATGCACTAGATATTTGCTTGTTGTCCTGGGGAGCAAAGAGTTTGGTCCCTTTCCTCAAGTGGCTTGGACTTTTGCTTTGTAGAAGAGAAAGGTCCAGGGCTTTGTACCTGTTTACCTGGAGTTGCTGATATATTCTGCTCATCTTTGCCACTGATGGGGACTGTCTCTGGTCTTCTGCTCTGTGTCTAGTCTTTCTTGTTAGCACCTGGTGTGGGCCCATGGAGAGGAGCTTGCAAGTGGGTGCAAACACTTCGTGAATGTGGGACTCCCAGCTACTCCAAAGTGACATGCTAGCCTATACTAGGCCTTTGGGAATTCATTAAAATTTGAGCTTTCTTTTTTAAAAAATTAATAGGCCCTTTTTTAAAAAAATGAGAAGTTTTAAGTTTACAGAAAAGTGGAGTAGAAAGTATAGTGAATTTTAATTTACTCTCTTCTTCTCCTTCCCCCCAACAATTTCCCCTATTGCTGTTAACATATTGCATTAACGCAGTACCTTTGTTAAAATAGGTATATATTTTCCAAATATTTTCTCCTGGTCTGTGGCTTATCTTTTCATTCTCTTAATATTGTCTTTTGCAGAGCTTAAGTTTTTAATTTTAATAAAGTCCAGCTTCTAAACTTTTTTTTTTACCTGCTTGTATGGAAGCCCCCCTTTCCTCTTGTTCTCTATCAAAGGTAAAGCAGTTTTTGTGCCCTGCCTCTCCTTAGAGGGACTTGACTTTGTTTAGAATTCAGCTGACTTATTTGCCTTGAGGTTTGTCTGATGGGCTCAGTAAAAGTTATGTTTTTGTAGATTGTCTGCCTTTTCTTGCCCTTGGAGTGACAGCAACATTATTTTCGAAGGTTTCTATTGCCTAAATGGAAGCGAAACTAAAATATTTTCCTTTTGTTGTTGTTGTTGTTTTTGAGTTGGGGGTCTCACTTTGTTGCCCAGGCTGGAGTGCAATGACTTATGCAGTCTCGAGCTCCTGGGCTCAAGCAGTCCTCCTACCCCAGCCTCCCAAGTAGCTGGGACAACACGTGCGTGCCACCATGCCTGGCTAATGTTTTTATTTTTTGTAGAGATGACATCTCATTATGTTGCTTAGGCTGGTCCTGAATTCCTGGGCTCAAGCAGGTCTACCATCTTGACCTCCCAAAGTGCTGGGATTACAGACATGAACCACTACGCCAAGCCAGTTGAATTTCTTTTTTTTAAAAGATTGGCCCCAAATGGCATTGTAAATGTTACATAAGACAGAAATAAATGTTAGGATAGTATTCTGAAAGAATGGTTGTTATATTTTTTTCTTTGTCTACAGTGTGCATTACAATCCTAGCTCTAGTAATTAGGTAGAATCTACCCAAACCAGGAGTCCATTTGTAATACATTTAACTCTGATTGTATATGAAGATGACATTTAGACTATTGATTTTATAGTGAGCTGTTAATGGGCATGTAGTGAGTTCCAACTGCAGTACTTGTCTTCGCCTCACTGAGGAGCTGGTGGTAACTGAGTTGTAAGGAAAATGTTCTCTTGGGTGATTGTCAGACTCTTCTGTGACCCATACCGCTCTAGCCTCATTGAGGCTGGTATGTGTAGGGATGACTGGCTTCTCTTAGAGGCTTTTTTACTGAATCTTATTCTTTGCACATTAAGCAAGTACGTGCCCGATGTCTTTAAAGATCACGCCCACATTCTTTTTATTTATTTATTTTTTTGAGTTGGAGTCTTATTCCATTGCCCAGGCTGGAGTGCAGTGGCACACTCATGGTCACCCCATTGTCGACTTGCTAGGCTCCAGCGATCCTTCTGCCTCAGTCTTCCAAGTAGCCGGAACTACAGGTGTGTGCTACCATGCTCGGCTAATTTTTTTTTTTAATTGTAGAGATGAAGTCTTGCCAAGTGACCCAGTTTGGTCTCAAACCCGTGGGCTCAGGCAAGTGACTAGCCTCAGCCTCCCAAAGTGCTGAGATTACAGGCTGAGCCACCAAGCCCGGCCTGCCCACATTCTTAATCCAATAGAGGCACTGCTTCTGTCCAGCATATTTTTCACATTTTGAAAATAATTGTGATGCCCGTTTTCAGTCTTCAGCCTGAACATGTGGGGCTTATATCACCACACTCTCATGCAGAAGATGCTGATGGGACTAGGAGTCTGAGCATGGGAAGGAGCTTAAGTATTTAACCCCTAAGATAGTTCTGAAAACGACAGAATAGAGCAAGATGATAGTGCCTTCTATATTCCAGCACAGGTATTTACTTGCCTGTGTCCCACACACAAGTCAAACTCAGCTTATCCAAAAACTGGCTAGTCATACGAGCCATTTCATGCACGTAAACCTGCTTCTTTTGTGTTCCTATTTATAGGAAACGTCAGGATTTTTCTTTTCTTTTTTTTGAGTCGGAGTCTCACTCTGTGGTCCAGGATGGAGTGCTTGGCACACTCACACCACCCCAGCATCGACTCACTGGGCTCCAGCAATCCTTCCGCCTCAGCCTTCCAAGTAGCTGGAACTACTGGCGCGTGCTACCACACCTGGCTAATTTTTGACTTATTGTAGAGACAAGGTCTCGCCACATTGTCCAGGCTGGGCTCGAATCTGTGGGCTCGGGCAATCCACTTGCCTCCACCTCTCAAAGTGCTGGGATTACAGCTGAGCCCCCAAGCCCAACCAGGATTCTTCTTCATCTTCATCACTGCTGTACCTAATCCAGCACTGGACTCTGTCATGTTCATTGATAAATCTTCTACTAGTCTGCCCCTTCCTTAATATTCCCATACACGAAATTCCCACTCTCATCCCTAATCTATAATAATAACAATTATTATTTTTTGAGCTCCTATGTGCCAGGTGCCATTAGAAGCTTTTTAACATGTGCAGCTTTGTTTCATCTTCACAGAAACTCTATTTGGTAGGTACTACTACACAGATAACTTAAGTTCTTTGTCAAGTTTACACAGTGTTTTTCAACTTTGGCTTTATATTAGAATATCCTGGGGAGTTTTAAAAATCCTGATTCCCAGGCCATACTAGCTAAATGAAATCAGAATCTCTGGGGTGGGACCTGGACATCAGTCCTCTTTAAAGATCCTCAGATGATTTCAGTGTACACTTATTTATAGCCATAAGACAGTAGAGTCAGAAATTGAACGCAAGTCTCTGACTCCACAGCCCACATTCTAAAACGTATGTTGTGTGTTTTTAAAAAATTGACCACAGATCTTATTGCAAATGTTGCATAAGACAGAAATAAATGTTAGGACAGAATTCTGAAAGAATGGCTGTACATTTATCTTCTTTGACTCATGTTGTATGATGCTACAAGTGTGAATTTATGTGGTATATTAAGTTACTTTCCAACCTAATTCTCTTTAGTGGTTCCCATGTCCCTCAGCTGAAAAGTAATCTCTTTGGTATGACATACAAGGTTGAGTTGATTTTTCCTTCCCTTATACTCGCACTCAGACAGTACTAGGCCTCCCACAATTACCTGAATATATGGTATTCCTCACATAACTGTGCCTTCGCACAGACTGGGCTTTCTCTCTGGACTGTCCACCTCCTATCTTTTTTTTTTTTTTTTTTTTTAAGGAAAACGCTGTTTCTAAGACTCTATTAAATGCCACTTTAAGACTTCCCTCTGCAGCCTTTCCAAACCACCTCCTTATAACAGCAATATGGATTCGTCTCTCTTTTGTCCCACCATAGAACATACAAGTGCTTTTTCACTTATCCCACAGTTTGCCACTGCTTACTTGTCTGTATTATGAATGAATGGATGGCACATCATTAAGTCTGTGAATCTAGGTTGTGGCCATTTTGTGAAGAGAATGGGGAGTCAGTAAGGATCATTGAACAGGGAATGAGATGCTGGAGATGGTGTTTTTAGCAACTTTAATCTGATGTGTGATGTATGTGACAGTTTGGGTATAGGATAAGACTGGAGGCTGGAGATCATTGAAGACTTTAAAAAAAAAAAAAGAATCCACATTTGTGGTGATAAAGGCCTCTGTTGGGATGGTGGCAAAAGCAATGAAATGAAGAGTTTTTTTTGTTTGTGTTTTTTTTTTTTTTAATTGGGGTCTCACTCTGTTGCCCAGGCTGGAGTGCAATGGCATGATCACAGCTCATCTCAGTCTCCACCAGCTGGACTCAGGTGATCTTTTTTTTTTTTTTTTAGATTAGAAAATACAGTTTATTTAGAAAGTAAATGAGGGAGAGAGAAATAGAAGATTCACCTCCTCAGGGTAGGGGAGGGGGCCTTAGGGGATGTTCATGAAGAGATTGATGTGATAGATAAAAGGAATTCTAGATTTTGGTGACTAGATATGGAGGTCCAGGGAAAAATAAGAGTCAGAGAGGAATTTAAAGTTTTGATAATTGTTACATGTATTAGTTTCCTGTAACTGCCATAACAAAGCACTACAAACTGAGCAGCTTAAAAAGCAGAAGTGTATTCTTCATAGTTCTGGAGGCTGGACATCTAAAATCAAGGTGTTGGCAGGGCTATTTTCCCTCGCCTCTTTCCTAGCTGCTGGTGGTTGCTGACAATCCTTGACGTTCTTTGGTTTGCAGCCTTATCACTCCAGTCTCTGCCTCTGTCTCTACATGGTCTTCTCTCTGTGCTCAACCCCTTTTGTTTTTTTTGAATTGAAGTCTCACTTCGTCACCCAGGCTGGAGTGCAATGGCATACTCACATCCACCACAGCCTCGACCTGCTGGGCTCAGGCGATCCTTCCACTCCAGCCTTACAAGTAGCTGAAACTATAGGCGCTTGCCACCATGCCCAGCTAATTGTAGAGACAAGGTCTTGCCAAATTGCCCAGGCTGGTCTCGAACCCCTGGGCTCAGCCAGTTCTCTCACCTCTGCCTCCCAAAGTGCTGGAATTACAGGCTTGAGCCACTGCACCTGGCCTGAATTCCCTTCTTCTTAAGAGGATACTTGTCATTCGATTAGGGGCTACTGTAGTCCATTATTACCTATTTTAACTTGATAACATCTGCAAACAACATCACATTCACAGATACCAGGGATTAGGACTTGAACATATCTTTTGGGGAGCACACAGTTCATCCCTAACATCACATAAATTCATTCAATCAAATAATCATACATTGAGTTGTAATTGCCTTTCAAGTGCTCCCAATTCAATAGAGAAGATGGACATTTAAACAGACAATTCTGTTACAGTGTGGCAAATACAATAGTACTGATATGAGCTTGTTATTATGGAAGCACAAAGAACGGACCTTTAACCCAGCCTAATAGAAAATAGATAAAGGTGGGATCTTAGATATTCTTGGGATTTAAAGTATTAAACACTATGTTTTATAATTTTATTAATTTAAAAATAATTTCTAGTTTGTGTCCATCCAAGAGGAAACTAATAGGTAGCTCTGCACAAGCTCTGTAGCAGATACAGGTATGGAAACAGCCACCAAGAGGAGGGACTCCCCAGGCATTCCGTCCCTTCTTCCATTTTAGACCGCCTTTCTGGGGTCATATTTCTTTCTTATGAATTCCAGACTTTAAAATTCAATTTTTGTTTGTCTTTAAAGATAATTAAACCAGCTGGGTTCGGTGGCTCAGCCTGTAATCCCACGCCTTTGGGAGGCTGAGGTGAGTGGATTGCCTGAACCTGCGGGTTCGAGACCCACCTGGGCAACTTGGAGAGACCTCATCTCTACAATAACTCAAAAAATCAGCCGGGTGTGGTAGCGCGCGCCTGTAATTCCGGCTATTCGGAAGGCTGAGGCAGAAGGATCGTGGGAACCCAGCAGGTTGAGGCTGCGGTGGCCGGGAGGCCAATGCACTCCAGTCTGGGCAACAGAGTGAGACTCCCACTCAAAAAAAAAAGAAAAAAAGAAAAAAGATAATTAAACCAGGCATGGTGGCTCTTACCTATAATCCCAGGCTAAGGTGGGAGAATTGCTTGAGCCCAGGAATTCAAGACCAACCAGGTTATCACAGTGAGACCTCATCTCTTTTTTTATTTTTTATTTTTGAAAGCAGGATTTTTTGAGAGGAGAGAAAAGCTCCCAGAGCAAGAGGGAACCCGAGAGGGTTGCATGAGACCTTATCTCTTAAACTAAAAAAAAAAAAAAAAAAAAGTTTAATGAGTATACAATTCTAGGTTGACATTTATTTTCTCTTAATGATTTAGAAATATAATTCTCTTGTTTTCTGGCCTCTATTGTTGTCAATCTGATTTTTTTAAAAGATCTCCTCATCCTTAGTGTCCTGTATTCTTATTACAGATGTCTAGGTATGGATTTCATCTTATTTAAGCTACTGGTATATATTGTACTTTCTAGATTTCTGTATTCATATTTTTCATCCATTCAGGAAAATATACAACAAAGATAATTTTAAATACTGCTTTTTCTTCATTTTTTTTCATTCGACTTCTGGGCTCAGACTAGATATATAGTAGAACTTCTCATATCTTAATATCTTTTAATATGTTCTTCATTTTTCTATTTCCTTAGTAATTTCTTTGATTGTATTTTCCAATTTACCAATTCTTTCTTCACTCTGTTGAATATTACAATTTTAATTTCTTAAATTTTCTTTCCCTCCCCCAGTATGTTTGTTTATTCCTAATAGGTTCTTACTGCTTTCTTATCTTGGCAATTGGATCTGTTCTCTCTTTGAACATTTTATGCATTGCTATACTACATTCTATATCTTATCTATACCAGCAAAATGGATGCTTTACACAGGGCCAGCATCAACCTTCCAATCAGCTTTTGCATGAGTGCAAGACTGGAGTACATGGGGGCACTTGTCAGCCACCTTATGGCAAGGGAGACTGGGAAATGGAGTACTGAGATACTCTCTGGGGAAAAGCATTTTACATTTATGCTTGTAAATAACACAATCTCCATGACTTTTTTTAAACATAAGAGTATAAGCTCCCAGTGGATAGGAGTATTTAACCTTTGCTTAGCTGATTTTTGGTTCTTAGTGAATAGTAAATCAATCTCCATCATGATTTTAGAAACTCTTTTTTTTTTTTTTTTTTGAGTTGGAGTCTCACTCTGTCGCCCAGAGTGAGTGCAGTGGCTGCTCCCGGCCACTGCAGCCTCGACCTGCTGTGCTCCGGTGATCCTTCTGCCTCAGCCTTCCGAGTAGCCGGAATTACAGGCATGCGCTACCGCGCCCGGCTGATTTTTTTGATTTATTGTAGAGATGAGGTCTCGCTGCCCAGGCAGGTCTCGAACCCACGGGCTCAGGCAATCCACTCACCTCAGCCTCCCAAAGGCGCGGGATTACAGGCTGAGCCACCAAGCCCGACTTAGAAACTCTTAAACAACTAATCTCATTCAAGAATGAACACCAGTTTGAAGTAATGATATTTTGATCTCCTTATATAGCAGTCAGTTTATTACAATAATTCCTGTATAAATGTAAGCTAGTGTTGTTTTCAAAATATCTTCACACATGTTGTCTTGTTAAAGGTTAAAAGTGAAGGTGGATTTTAACAATAGTAGTGTTGACTTGAAACCGTTGGAAAGAGCTCCTCATCTTCCAGAATGCCAGAAAGAAGAGAAAGCAGTTATTTACAAGTAAGCCTGTTATTCCATAGCTTTGGTCTTCGTTCACTTAGCGTACTTGGCTGGGTTGCTAGCCCCTGCTGTCCTTCCACACTGCTGGAGTCAGTACTTAGGGCATACCAGGATCCTTTATGGCATGATGTTAGGCATCTTGCACCAGTGTCTGGTGAGGTGCCATCTCTCCTCAGGCTTTTCTGGTTTTAAAGAACAAATAGCTAACACATTCAGAGATAAGCAAAGTAATGGAAAAAAAAATTGTTAGCAACTTATCCTAAAGGTAAAAGTTAGGAGACTTTAATTGAATTGGAACAGTATAAATGGAGTTTGGGACTCATTTTGGTGGGTAGTAGCTGTTACAGTATTGTGCCCAGAGAGAAAATATGTTATAAGCAGAGAAGTGGTGCATATTACTAAATGTGTACATCATGGGGAGTTGTCTCAACTAGTTATGGAATTAAAAAATAAGAGATTGCTCTATATAATTACATAGCTCACAACTCTCTGATTAAAAGTAATGTGATACCTCAGACATTGCTGCAGGGAATGTAAAATGGGGCAGAACTTTGGATCATAGTTTGTCAGTTTCTCAAAATGTTAAACATTGACGAGCCCAGTTGCTCATGCCTGTAATCGTAGCACTTTGGGAGGCCAAAACTGGAGAATTACTTGAGCCCAGGAGTTCCAGACCAGCCTTGGCAACATAACAAGACCTTGTCTCTACAGAAAATTTTTAAAAAATTAGCTGGGCATCGTGGCACGCACTTGCAGTCCAGCTACTTGGGAGTCTGAGGTGGAAGGATCACCTGAGCCCAGGAGGTCAAGGCTATGGTGAGCTGTGATCATGCCACTGCATTCCAGCCTGGGGGACAGACTGAAACTCCAACTAAAAAAAAAAAAAAAAAAGTTAAAGCTTTCAATTACTGTGGGATACAACAATTCAACTCCTAGGTTTCTCTTCAGGACTAACGAGAGCATGAACATACATTGTAGCATTATTCACAGTAGCCAGAAAGTAGAAAATACGCAAATGTTATCAGCTGATGATGGATAAACAAAATGTGGTAAATCCACACAATGGATTATTACTTTATTACTAGGCAATTAAAAGGAAAGAAGTACTGAGACATGTTACAACATGTTTGAACTTAAAAAACATACTAGCCGGGCTTGGTGGCTCAGCCTCTAATCCCACTCTTTGGGAGGCTGAGGTGAGTGGATTGCCTGAGCCCGTGGGGTTCAAGACTTGCCTGGGCAACTTGGTGAGACCTCATCTCTACAATAAATCAAAAAATTAGCCAGGCGTGGTAGCACGCACCAGTATTTCCAGCTACTTAGAAGGCTGAGGTGGAAGGATCGCCGGAGCCCAGCAGGTCAAGGCTGCGGTGGCTGGGAGCGTGCCACTGCACTCCAGTCTGGGTGACAGAGTGAGACTCCAACTCAAAAGAAAAAAAAAATTATACTTAGTGAAGGAAGCCAATCACAAAAGACTATATTTTACATACCTTTTTTAAAAAAATATATAAAATGTCCAGAGAAGACAAATCTATAAAAAGAGAAGGTAGATAGTGGTTGCCTGGGACTGGGGATGGGAATGGGGAGACTGTTAGTGAGCATGAGACTTGGGGGCTGATGGAAATGTTCTAAATTAGATTGTTGTGATGGTTGCACAACTCTGTAAATACACTAAAAATCATTGACTTGTATGTACACTTAAAATGGGTGAATTTTTTTTTGAGTCGAAGTCTTACTGTGTCGCTCAGGCTTAAAATGGGCAAATTTTATGGTACGTAAACTATACTTCAATAAAGGTGTGTTGATAACAATAATAAAATAGCCTAGCACGGTAGAAGAAAAAAGTTTATATAACATTTGGACTGTAGTTCTCCGTTCCTAAAAAGTGCCCAAGTAAGCTACAGTAGTTTCCTTAGTTTTCCTGAATAAGCTCAGACTTAGATGAATAAATAAAGGGTAGAGAGGCTGGAGGGCTTTTAGAGATGGTGCAGCTGGCATGAGCAGCAGAGAGAAGGGCTGATTGCCTTTGAGGATCTTAGTGATTTAAGCAGAAACAGACAACAGTTAGACAGAGCTGGCCCTCGGGGACTTCTCAGTGTCCTTGAGTGTGGCTTAGCAAGTTGCTGCTTTGTCTCTTGAATAGGAGTTGCAGTTGAGGGACAGAAGGAAGTATTGAAATTAAGGCCTATTCACGTGGTAGCTGAAGACCTTAAAGGATAGAAAGATTCAGAATAACTCTTGCGTATTAGGGTGAAAAGTAGTAAATTCCTTTATAATCCCTAACTACACGGTTTCAAACAGATCTGTTTGGGTAAGATTTTAGGATGATCAAACTTTAATCCTATCTAATTTCTATAAATGATATAAAAGGAGAGATTTTTTTTCTTTTGTATAGATACATCTATATGTGTGTATATGTGTGTGTGTGTGTGTGTGTGTGTGTGTGTGTGTGTATATATTTTTTTTTTTTTTTTTGAGTCGAGGTCTCATTCTGTTGCCTAAGCTAGAGTGCAATGGCACAATCATGGCCCACCGCAGCCTCGACCTCCTGGGCTCAGGTGATTCTTCTGCCTCAGCCTCCTGAGTAGCTGGGACTACAGTAGCATAAGCCACCATTCCCGGCTAATTTTTGATTTTTTGTAGAGATGAGATCTCACTATGTTTCTAGGCTGTCTCAAACTTGTGGGCTCAAGCAATCCTCCCACCTCATCCTCTCATAATGCTGGGATTACAGGTGTGAGCCACCATACCTGGACAGCAAAAGGAGGGATTTTGTTCTCAAATACTTCCTCTAACAGAGTGTGACCCAGATATGAAAAATAATATTGCATTGTTGATGTACCTGGGGGCTTATGTTTTAGACAAGAGGTGCAAGTCTATGAGCTCCCTCTGGAAGAAGGAGAAAGGTTGGATTCTTTCTATGAACTAGGGAAGCATCCCAACAGCTGTGGTGGAAAAGTCATGTTTGTCTTGGTAGAGTTAGACCTCCAACATGGCACCTAGACAAAATGGACAACTCTGTAGGGGAGGTGGGGATGGTCATTCACTCTAAAGATACTAACTCAGCTGCCTGATTAAGCAGCAAAGAGTTTTCAAAAGAAACTATTACTAGAGCAAGGTGATACTATTTATGTGGATTTCTTTTTAAATAAAAATATGTAAATTCATATAGAACTCATCAGCTTCAAATTTAAATAAAATATTAAATGCTGCAATTGAGATGAGAGTTAAGAGAATTCCTTTCTGGTTCCTTCCTATAGAAACAAAAGGTCATCCTTTCTGGAAAAAGAGTCTCCGTGTTATCAGGAGGGAAAGACTCCACATCCCAAAGAGGCCAACTCTGAAGGGCAGATTTCTTCCTTGCCTCTCAACCAGGAGGTAGAACGGGATGAAGACCAGGATGCGGTAAGAGCTGGGGCTGCCCCATTCACAATACATAAGGCAGCAATTGCTGATCCCAAATCTGAGCACCTGGGAACTTCTTTGTATAGCAGGCTTCTAAGAAGAGAGGAGGCAGCGGACCTCCCTGGGGCAGAGAGTAGAAGACACTGGGAGGGGGATGTCCTTTATTCAGAGGAAGTGGAGAGCTGTCCCTGTCAACTTTGTGGTGCCACACAATGGAGGTGCTCCTTTGTCCCTGGCAATCTCTGTCCTGAGTTTTCACCTCTGTCTCACTATCATCTCTACCACCTCTCTACCATTTTACTACTCAGATTACCCAAACCAGGTCCCCAATTTTGTTCCCCTTAATGCAGTCAAGTAGGCAGACAATTTTCAAAATGACCAATGCTAAGTTAAAGTAGTCAAATGTAAGGAGTAAAAGCCTCTAGGTTGAGAGCCTGCCAGCAGCAGAAAGGAGCAAACTCCTTGCTGTGTGATTTTTGATCTCCTCAGAGTCATGGTGGGCATCTTCTCTCCTGGATCCGATAGGGCAGAGTAAGTACTAGTTCTGTGTGGACCCTGGGTTAGGGCCTGTGGTCCTAGTGAAAATAATCCAAGAGAAAACTCAGAAATAAAAATGGAGAAAGTGAGACTTCAGACTGAAATTACTAGAAACTCCAGGAAGCAGAGGAGAAAAATGAAACTGAGAAACCAGAAAAAACCTTCAGACCAGTGAGTTAAAATTTGGAATAACCAGGAGATACAGAGCTTCATAAAAGAATGGAAATTTCAGGCCAGGCGTGGTGGCTCAAGCCTGTAATCCCAGCACTTTGGGAGGCCGAGGTGAGCGGATTGAGCCCATGGGTTCGAGACTAGCCTGGGCAACTTGGTGAGACCCCATCTCTACAATAAATCAAAAAATTAGCCAGGCATGGTAGCATATGCCTGTAGTTCCGGCTACTTGTAAGGCTGAGGCAGAAGGATCGCCTGAGCCCAGCGAATGGACACTGGGGTAGCCGTGAGTGTGCCACTGTATCTGGCCTGGGCAACAGAGTGAGACTCTAACTCAAAACAAACAAACAAAAGAATGGGAACTTCTTGAATTTGACAAGTTAAGGAAGAAGAATCATGAATGATCTAAAGGAGTTGCCCAGTATCTCAGGCAGATGGGTAAAAAAAAAAAGAACTGGCACCAATGTCTCCAGATGACAAGCTTGCAGGACTCATACTGCACTACTCATGAGGCCAACCCAAGGCCATGAAGCCAACCATGGCCCTATCCTTACAGAGGAACCGTGCATAGGATTCTAGAACACAAATAAAAGGATTACATCTTTTTTGGTCCTTTTTGTGCAAATGTGATCATCCTTCTGCCCCTGAGCACCAGACCCAGGTCTGTGCCATTCTTGTTCACTTTGAGGCGCTGCTGTCAGCCCCCACATGATCTTCATGAAGGATCCTCAGGTGCCTGAATGGGAGCCCTGGAACATGAGCCCTTCACGGTCCAGCTCCACGCCTGTTTCCTGCCTTGTCCAGTAGCCCTAGCCCCAGCAGCAGCTGTTGATCTCTCTGGCTCTGATGCAGATTCTGAACGTAAAGACAATTATAGAACCCAAATTCTGATTCTGTCTGGAAGATAATGGGACAGCACAACTGTAGACACTGGTGCAGGACTCCTGCCTCTCCCAGCCCAATGTGATGAGGATAAAACATGCGGAATGAAGGAAAAAAAGGCCTCAAAATTTAAAATGTAACATTTATATGCATATAAATGTTTACAGAGCACAGATTTCCCATCCCAAGTTAACTGGGTGTGGCTTCTCCCTTCAATTCCCTTTTCCAGCCCAGGTTCCAGCACTCTGGAGTCAACCTCTTTTAGGAGTGGAATATAGAGGTCACAGCCCTCCCCTAGTCTGACCCTCCAGTGAGAAATCAGGATGTGAAGGACCCGACTTCTGAGTGTGCAGTCAGTCTTCTCATCCTCCTTCCTGACTGTCTCTGTTTCCCCACTCCCGCCCTACAGGATAAGGGGGCTGCTTATTTACTCAGTACAATTTACTAACACTTCATTTATTTTCTGTAACTCCTGCTGCTGTTGTGTTTCGGATCCTCCCATGTGCTTGATTTCTTTCTTTCTTCCTCAAAATTCTAACAAGTGTCAGGCAGTGTCTGAGGGACTGGATACGTAGTAGGAAACAAAACAGATGCCTCTCTGATTTTATGGAGCTTACATTTAATGGGAAGACAGACAATAACCAGCCCAATAAACACAGGACATCACATGAGTTAGTAATGAGTGCAGTGAGGAAAATGAAGCAGGTGAAGAGGGCAGGAGGATGGGGCATGGCTGAGGAGACTGCTTTAAGTGGAGCAATCAGAGAAGGCTTTTCTGAAGAGACAAGCCATGCTGCAGCGGCCTGCGGAGCTGAGGGAGTGAGGCATAGAGAGGTCCCAGGGAGAGTGTCCGATAGGTGGATGGCTGGGAGAAAGTCTGAGAGGGGAGTGAGGCTGGCATGTTCGGGAGACAGCAAGAAAAAGCAGTGATGCTGGAGCGCAGTGAGTGCTCAGAGAAGGGCTGGGAATGAGGCTGGAGAGAAGGCCATGCCTGTGGTGTGGGGGTTAGAGGCCAAGGCAAAGAGTTAGGAGGAAATGCAAAGCATGAGGGGAAGCCATCAGAGGGTTCTGAGGGGGGAGAAATATGCTCTAACTAACATTTTATTTTTGCTTTTATGTATTTATTTATTTTTGAGTCCGAGTCCCATTCACCCAGACTGGAAAGCAGTGGCACACTCACGGCTGCCCCAGCATCAACCTATTGGGCTCAGGGATCCTTCTGCCTCAGCCCTCCAAGTGACTGCAACTGTAGGCACGTGCTACCATGCCCGGCTAATTTTTTATTTATTGCAGAGACGAGGTCTTGCCAAGTTGCCTGGACTGATCTTGAACCCCTAGGTTCAGGCAGTCCTCTTACCTCGGCCTCCCAAAGTGTTAGGATTACAGGCATTAGCCACTGCGCCCAGTCTCTAACTAACATTTTAAAAGGAAGGACATGGCTGCTGTGTGGAGGACTGATGGAGTGAGAGCAAGAGCAGAAGCAGGGCCAGCTAGGTAGGGAGGGCACTGGGCCCGGGGAGGGCAGTCACCAGTGGCGGGAGGAGCTGAAGAGGGAACAAGCTGACAGAGCCCATGGGGACTTGACCTGGAAGTGAGTGAAACCATGACATCAGTTGTGAGAGGCCTAGGTGGGTGACAGTCCTGTCCACTGAACTAGAGAAGCCTGAGGCGAAAACAGCCTTGACAGGGGAAAGAGAAGATGTGCACAATTGAGAAATCATCCTGTCTGGGGACGCCTGAAGCCATTACAAACATAAGGCGGATCTGCAGGGGATGATGATGAAGCAACTTCATTTTGTGTCCTCTTGTTCACTTAACCCTGCTCTGTGGGAGTAGCTGTTCCCCTGCCCTGGGCATTCCCAGATAATAAAAAGTCTCTAGTTATAAAGATGGTCTCCATTCAGCAATTAACACATCCAATCCTGTATAATGACCAACACTTCAATCTCCATTAAGGTCCCTTCTCCCCTTTGCCCCTGTGATTTCTGATCTTTTCAGAGTCACAGTGGAGGAAAGAGAGGTTGTGGAGGGGAGGAGAGCTCTCGCTCGTTAATTTTATGTTCTATTCTAGCAGAAAGCACTCTCTTGGCTTGGCAGGAAGTTAAAGCAAATGTTTTCGTTCATGAGGCACTTTCAGGTGATCCTTTTGAGAGCACCTGAGAGTGAGTGTCAGAAGAGGGTTGAAGGCTAGTCCTCTGGACTCCAAGACTTGGAGGTTGGGGCAAAGGAGGCAGAGCCAGTGAAGGAACGAGATAACGTGTTATCACAGAGCCCAGGAAAGAAAGGGTTTCAGAAAAGGGCCTGGTCAGCCATGCTGCCATCCTGCTGAATGCGCAAATCAACTGAGGGCTGGGGATTATCCTTGTATTTAGTGAGATTTAGAGGTAATCGGCGATTTTCATCAGAGAGGTCACTATGGAGCCATTGCAGTGAAAGCTTGATTAGGGTGGGTTCATGAGAATGGGGTGGGACTGTTGGAGACAGAATAAGCAACGCTTCTGTGGAATTTCACTATAAAGGGAGGAGAGTGATGGGATGGTGGCTGGAGAGAGCAGGGACAAGGGCGTGTTTTCATCACATGCTGCATATCATTACATGTATTTTTTCTGATGGAAATGCTCCAGTAGAGGGAAATTTGGTGACACTGGAAAGAGAGGGTGCGTAATAGCAAGGGCACCTTTAGTAGGTAAAGAGGCCCCTTCATCTCAAGTGGAGGGTCCAGGACTCCAATGCAGGGCCGGACAACCCAACCATTGCAGGAGGAGGGAAGGCAGAGTACATAGATACAGATGAGGCTGGCTCAGTAGATTTTGTGAAGGAAGATTGTTGACTTCGGTTTTTCTCATTTTGTTAGTGAAGTGGGAATGTCATTAGCCGATAGTGAGGTGGAGGATAGAGATTTAGAACTTTGAAGAGAGAAGGGAAGAAAGAAATTTAGTAGTTTCTAAGTCACAACAGTCTTAGTAGAGTACTCCAAGCATATTGACATCTGAAAGCTGGGACCACAGGGAGTCCTTCAAACCCTCTCACACATCAGTGAACTATCCCATCTATCATAAGGCTGGCTGTGTCCCTGAATCTCTCCATGTTTCAGAAGCCAGACAGAGCGAGACCAGTTAGTCAATGGAAACTGCCTGTGAGGTGAGTTGCTCAGCTCTGGCCAGACCAGGCTTCAAGAGGGTCAGCTCAGTTTAGCTGGGAACTCTTTCTGCTCTTGCAAGCCCCTCAGCCCTATACCACACTCAACTCTTCTCTTTTGTCACCTTCAGAAGGTTTTAGCAACTAAAAGAGCACACATCCCTGTCCTTGACTGATACACAAGATAAGGCTGCTTCAGAAGAAGTCATCTACTAGCAGGAATCATTCAGGGTGGAGACCAAGGACAGCACTCAAGGACTGCTCTGTTTCTA